ATATGATAAGGGTTTGCAGTTAAGACGGAAAAAGTTAGCGTTGGCTAACAAGAATATGTGATGGGAATGTACGGGAAGTATAAGAATGTAAGATATTGTCGGGATATGATAATCAAATATGGAATGGATCTGGATACAATTGTATATTTGAGTAAAGCTGAGAATTGATAAGAAGAGTTTGAGAATTTGTATATCGATAATTAGTTTATAAGACAAAGAAAGTCATAATGTTGAGTTTGAACAACGGAAATTTCGGGATGTATATGATTGGATGATTAGGACTTGTGCCCTAGATTGAACAGATGTTATTGAATAGTTGTCATAGTAAAGGTGATAGAGTTATAAGATTGAAGGAAAAGATAAAGTTGAGTTAATCAATTATGATGTGAAACTGAATATAGTGGTGTATTCTAATTAGATAACTATGATGTAGAAAAGGAGATAAGTATTTGTGTGGAATCTTAAGGAAGGAAAAATAAAAGTACAAGGAAATGATAAAGAATGAAGTTATGTATAAGAAATGGGTTATCAGAGTAATGAGGATGCAATGAAGATTGGTACATAAAGATGAGTATAAGTGATAAGACAAGAGTATGTGAACATGAAAGGAAATATATGATTTAGGTATAAGGAATAAGGAATAAAGAAATGAAAGGGATTGATTTAAAGGATCAGATACGATAAATATGGAAGTACAGATGACAATTTTGATATAGAAATAAGACAAGTGTGCAAGGTGATGTGAAAAGATTCTTTAAAGTGTATGTTGAATCGTATTTAAGAAGATTTAAGGTCGTATTCTTGGTTAAATGATGATGGAAAATGAATTTGGTTATTATAAAGTATTTATAGATGAATTTATGATGTTAAGTGATGAAAATTGATGTTACCGTCTATGTGATTAGTGACATTATATGAAATTTCAGAAATGGTCAAAGGAAAAAGACAATTGAAGAAATACAAGAAGGAAAAAGTAAGTAAATGAGGTAACATAAGAACAATAGAAGATATGTTCTTATTGATTTGTTCAGTGAAAATTCGAGGACGAATTTTCTTTAAAGGAGGGGAGATTTGTAACATCCCGAAATTCAGGTCAGTGACTAAATTGCAAATTTTGAAAACTATGTGCTTGATTTCGAAATAAGTTAAAAGTTCATGGATTTAGTAGTAAAGCTGGAAAGTAACAAGGGTATTATGGTCTTTTCTAAGAGAAGATTTTATTTTTCCCTTTTTAAGGAAACCACGTGGGAAAGGAGAGAATTATCCAGAGTCTTCTTCTCCAACTTCTTCTTCTCCCCATAAGCCTCATTTAAAGGTGAGTTTAATTTCAGCTGTTTAATTCTTGGATTTATAAGTTGATTTTGATTCTTGGAGTATTATATAAGCTTAAGGAAAGCTTATATAAGCTTAAGGAAAGCTTATATAAGCTTTAAACATCAAGAATAGAGAATTAGAAAAGAAATGATATGAAGGGTGTAGAAATGAAATTTTGTTATAGAAAGGTTTTTGAAGTTCTAAAGATGGATTTGACTTGTCAATGGTATAATTAAGAAGCTAGAAGCAATAGAATTGAATTTGGAACATGTTGAAAATTTAGTGTAATTCTTAAATTTCATATGGAGAATAGGATTTTGATGTTAAAGAGGTGATTAATGAATATGAATGAGTTTGAATATGAGTATGTAAGTTAAAAATAAGAAAGGGGATGATATATGAAGTATTAAGCTGAAAAGAGTGGATTTTCGGGCATAAAAGAGGATTCTGGGCAGAGTGCATCGATGCATCAAGGTTAAAACCCAGAAATTATTTGAAGGTGTATCGATGCATTGGTAATGCATCGATGCACTCTTTTAAAATAGAAACATCGAATGCAATTAGTGCATCGATGCATAAGGCATGCATCGATGCATCCCAATAATAATACAACATCGAATGCATTTTATGCACCGATGCATCAGTAGTGCATCGATGCATACCTTCATTAAAAGATGAAATTGGCTTTTCTCTGAGCCTAAGGAGTGATAGTTTCGAATATATCAATCAGTATACTTATAAGTATTAACATATTATTATGTAGATATAGAATGAAAGCTTGTTCCGGAATAAACTAAGGATTAGGATTGATTCAAACAACGAGGCACAGGTGAGTGCATTTTATTGTATAGGATTATATGGAAATTGGACTTGTGATAAGTCTATTCCTATAGTAATAGCTCATTAAGTCTTGATTATAAGTATGTTAACGATATGAAGTGTATGTATGTTGGATTATATGAATTGATAGGTTTTGTTTTGTATGTGCTATGTGGTTTATGTAAAAATACGGTTAAGTGTTAATGAGAGAATATAAAATAAGTTATGAAATTATATGAATATAGAAGATAAGTCAAGAGATGTAGGGAAATGGAAATAGATGTTTATAAAGAGTCATAGGAGAACAAATATAAGTAATATGATAATGAAATATAAGACTATGTGAATACATGGTTATGAGATAAAAGATGTAAGAATAGGAAAATATGATGAGAGTGAGTTCATGAGAAGTGATATGAACTAGGTAAACATGAGTTGGACAAGTACATAGTGATATGATCCATCATGGGAATTAGTATAATAGAGCTTTTGATTTAATGAGAGTTAAGGGAACTAAATAAGATTGAATTATAGAATGAAATGGGAATAATATATCAATTAGGAAACTTGAATATAAAGGGACGATACGAATATGCAAGATAAGTTATATGCTAAATATCTATGGAGCTATATGAAAAGATTATAATGAAATTATGAAATTGAATTAAGTAAATAGAATAAATTATTACCTAAATAAAAATACTATTAAATGATATATATTTAGAAATACGATATAAGTTATGTGAAAGTATTCTAGGTGTTTCTATATGTTATATGAAGTATATGATCATATGTGAACAAGATATGATAAGTATGTTTACATGAATAAATGTGATTGGGTGAGAAATGATAGAAATTATATGAAAACATGTATAGGTGAATTAGCTTTGTAATTAGGTAAATATATGAAATCATAACTATGAATTATGTGATGTGAAAGTAATCTATATGATTATATGTTATATGAATACAAGAACATGAGATATGTGACATGTGAATTATATGGAAATGATCTACGTGTAAATGAACTATGTGACTATGTGATAATATGAAAAGAAGCTATGTGATACGTGATATGTGAAAGTGAATTACATGTTTATGTGAATATTTGAAATGAAATAAATGATAATGCCCATGTTATGTGTCATGAGAGCTAGGGGTATAGTTGGCATGCCAAGAGTCGAGGGTCTACGCGGTCCTTCGGGACATATGTATATTCTTTGGAATATTTATGAGGTCTTTGAGGCACATACTTGGTCCTTAGTATATGTATATGATTCTTAAGGAATGATATGTGGTCCTTATGGACATTATTATATGGCACTACGGTGCAATTCTACGCGGTCCTTCGGGATATATATATATTCTGTGGAACATGTGTGAAGTCTTGTAAGACACATACTTGATCCCTAGTATATGTATATGATTCTTAAGGAATGATATGTGGTCCTTATGGACATTATTATAGGGCACTACGGTGTAATTCTACACGGCACTACGGTGCAATTCTACGTGCACTTCGGTGCAATGATACGAGCTGTGGTGACAGCATTAGTGCACAACCTCTATAGACTCACATATCGATAGTTCTCACAAGTGTACCATGGGCTAATCAAAGAGATAACATAAATACAATATATATAATGTATATACTTTTGGTGAAATGATATATGAGTGATATGATATACAGAAATGATAAGTACAAGATTATGTGATAAATAATTCGATGATAATGATAGAGATAATGATAATAATATATATGATAATGCTAAGAAAGTAGATGATGATATATGTACATAAGTGTCTTTGTTATATAAAAAGGTATATGATTTTGTATGATAAATTAGTATTAAATGTTCCTGTGTTTTGTTGTATGGAATGTTTTATGATTTGTTTCTATATGATGTTTTATATGTCACTTAAGATTATATGTACTGTTTATAGAGTGTAGTTGGCATATAGTCTAAGGATATAAATTGTATGAACTCTGATATATTTTGTAAACGTTTTGAATAAGTTAAATGTTATCAAAGTTTTTAAATTACCCACTATTTTATACAAATAAATGTTTTGAAAAGTCAATATGACACCTCGGACTCGAATCCAGGTCGGGTACGGGTTGGGGGTGTTACAATCTATCTTTGCAACATCAAACGGGGAGTTACTTGCTGCAGTCGAGCATCGGGGCGGTTCCGGCGAGCCACGGATAGGTTACGACAAACTTTTGGATGTTAACCAATTCTAATAATCAAGTCATGAGTGGTGCTAACAAGGCCATTGGAGCTGGAAAATTCATGAAATGAAAACCACTGTTGTTCACCGATAGAAATGTCCAGCAATTGGCAGGTTGAAGAAAAGAAAAAAAAGAGTAATTGAATATTTATCCCTGAAAGGTTTTTGATTTACAAATATACCATAATTAATATTTTACTTAAAATTCATTAAGGTGCTAAATTATCAACTTGTTAATGGTTTAACGGCCGTTAAATAAATATATAAAGGTAGATTAATTAAAATAAAACGATAGTGATTACAAATTAATTTTTTTAAACTTAATGATTATATGTTTATAAAATTGAAATAAAAGTGACCAACTCTATAACTTTCATTCTTCTATTGGTTTCAGCATATTATAAAATCATTAAATATCAGCAGCAACCGAAAGGAAGAATTCACATTACTGCCATCTGAAAGAGGGCAATGTATTACAATGTTTAAGCATGCTGCAGGTTACAAAGAGAAAATGAGAAGTACGCATCAAGACAGATGCAGATGAAATAGCTTAGGGAAAATGAAAAGTAATAATCAAATAATACAAAGAATTTTTTTCTACATTAAAAAGCTGTTAGTCTACAATAACACTTCTCAACTACATTAAATTCCACCCTTTGACATCTCAAGTTTATCATCTCCTTAGAAGGTTGAAGAATTTGGGATTCATTCACTAAAGATGTTACACGAAAATGTTTCCTTAACAAAACAAAACCAATTGAACATGCACGAAAACAATTGCATGTCCATTATCTATCTATATTTGAGTTTTTCTTCATGTATTTCTAATTTATATATATGTATCAAAATCTTACTAGGTTATCTTCTAAGTCGAGACCCTTTTCAGGTCTACTAGAATCCTCCCCATCCGATGCGGAGGAGCAGAAGAACATGAGACATCCAGAAAAGGACGGCAAGAAAATCCGTACTTGATCTTGAAATACAAATAACTTCTCACAGACCCTGTTCCATGAAAGAGATCATAGGACACCACAATAACAGGCCCCTTCAAAGCATGTAAAATGTAATAACACAGGAGCTTTGAATTTTTATAATAATTTATTATTGTTATATTTATCAAGTACTCCATTAGATAATATGATGGATAGCTAGGTTTATCAGTTATCTTTTGGATTTAAATCTAAGGGAAATTCTACTGTGCGGCAACCTTATATACGGTTAAGAAAAGATACTATCGGTTTTGTTATTATTTTTTTAACAAAATCGGTAAAAAATTACCTAAAACATTATTTCTACCTAAAACATTAATATTTTTTAACATTTCCGGTAAAGTGTCTAATAATAACAAAATCGATAAAAAAATATAATTTAAGGAGCATTTTACTGGATATGTTAACAAAACCGATAAAACACCTAATAATAATAATATCAATAAAAATAATAATGTTTTTGATAAATTTTTATCAATTTTATTAAAAAAAATAACAATAAAACCAATAACACATTTCCTTTTATATTAAGGATTCCCCGTTGAGACTTTCCAACAAATAAAACTTTATTTGCAAGAAAGCCTAGTAACATTAAAGAAAGAAAGCCTATGCAAATATGCTGTAGGCCATACAACCAATAAAGCCTATACAAATATTGTAGGCTTTACAGCCAATATTATTATAGGTTATTATTATTATTTTAATTAATTACTAATATACAATCTATTAATCACTGTTATTATTAAATACACATAATATATAAATTTATTTTACACAAACTGTATATTTTAATCTTAAATACTAAACTCTAAATCTTAAAATAAATAGACATATAAAGTTTAAGCAGCTGTGTATCAAATAATTTTGTTATTATTATTCCCATCATTTTCTCTGAATTAACAAGTGAAACCAGAGGCTCTCTATAACCCCCCAATGTTTTCTAGAGTTCCAACTTCTTTCAAACTCGTTTGTCAGCCGTATCCCTTTTGATTGCTGCTGTTTTATTTCTAAACAACATCAAATAAGTACCAAAGAAGACTCGAATCCAAGATATTATATGAACCTGAAGATATGGATTCTTTTAATACACTTCTCTTGCATTATCTCATTGCAACAAGTTGCTGTTACTCTCTGCTTTTATGGATTATGTCCAAAACTAATAACTAACGCTTAATTTTTCAACTATTAGGATTAATTTGTTTCACAAACACTACTACACTTCCCAGGAACTTTATAGATATATGAACAAATAAAATGTTATTGACAAACTATATTCTAAAGGCTAAAATCTGCAGAATTATTCATATGAAGACAAATTAATACGAGTTCAAACGCATAAATAAGAAAACAGAATGAAAAGATAGTGGAAACCTGGGGGGCAAGGAGGGTCGGATCGGGTGGTGAAGGTGGTCGGGACCAGCCGATAGACACGTAGCGTGCGCGTATGGTAATTGGAACAGAGGCGGTAGCGAGAGGGGGGCGATGGCGATGAAACTTTGGGGAAAAAACACAACAATTGTAGCGAATCAGAATTGAAGCTTTTGGAACTGGAAAAGTGAAAAATATGGTGGTGGCGCGGAGGAGACGAAACATACAAAGTGATGACCATTACCATTTCCCTCCTGATTTCTATTCCACCGGATCACAGAAATTGTGGGAAATATCATTATAAGTGATGGGCTTGAACTGCATGGCTCAATTTGCTTTGGGCCTCATTATTATTCTTTGGAATGCCCATGTTTACTGGGTTTGAAGGGAATTAGATAACTGCACTTTGATACCATTTATATTAGATTTATTTACATCTATAATCCGACAATAAAGGTTAATTTTTTATTAGCAACACATCTTCAAGCTTTCTATTTTTCGATTTCATACAAAAACCCAGCATGAAAACACTCTTAAGGAAGGCACTGATGAAGTTTGTAGATGAAGCTATCAATTGATGGGAACTTGCTTCACATCTTTCTTGGCAGACCAGGAGTCATCGTCAGAACCTCCATCTTCTTCTTCCCTATGTTCTTTTTATGTTTAGAACCCCACCATCAATGGTGATCTTAACATCTTCTTGGTTAACCCCGGCATGTCGTAACGCAGTTGTAGCAGTCATCTTGCTCCTTCACTCGCGCCATCAACTGTGATGATGTCAGGTCCAGGCTATCGAATAACCTGTTTATATTCTCAGTTGCTTGGAACAATGCTTTCCAAGGCCTGACGGTAAGATTTCTAAAAACCAAAAAAGGTCAGCAGATTCTCAAGAATTTATAAAAGGAACAAGATAAGAAAACAAAAACCTGGAATTTAAATCCATGAGAGATACCATACCAGGAAGGGTAGGAGCATAGTCATTTGTCTATTCCTCCAATTCCAAAGGCTTCTCCTGTTTCTCCTCCTTGGGGAAAGCCTGAATCTCTTTTCACCATCTGAAACAGATACTTGTTTTCTGTTGTCAACAGAGTCCTTATCAGTAGCCGTTGCCATAAACCTCTTCAACGTCTCATCATTCCACCTTTGCCTTTGCACCCTACCAACGCTCTCTCTCCAAGATTATGACCCAAAACAGACGAAGAATATGACACCCTTTGTTGCAAATTTCTCAAAGCCAAACGAGCCACTGCCATTGTTGATTGTAGATAATAATGGCGTGTGTGTCAACTGTTTGAAAGTTTCTAGGAGGGCAACGTCTCATCATTCCACCTTTGCCTTTGCACCCTACCAACGCTCCTCTCTCCAAGATTAGACCCAAAACAGACGAAGAATATGACACCCTTTGTTGCAAATTTCTCAAAGCCAAACGAGCCACTGCCATTGTTGATTGTAGATAATAATGGCGTGTGTGTCAACTGTTTGAAAGTTTCTAGGAGGGCAGGCTGAGACAGCGATGACACTTTCGTTTGTAACCTGTTTTATCTTTTGTTGTTAGTGTCCAAGTGTTGATGTTCAGGGAGGAAATTTAAGGCAATCTTATAGAGGTGTTGTTTCGATGTTGGAGGATGGACGTTGGAGGAGTGTTCTGCGAGGTTCTAGGCTTCTAGTATGTGGTAGAAAAAGGTACAATCTCGTCAACACATTGAGAGGATTGTTCCTGGACCTTCTTGAACATTATAAACTGTTACCCTTGTGGAGTGTTCCAGAGGGAAAGGGATCAGATGCTATGTATTTTCTCATTCTAGAAAAAGTGATAAATTGGACAAAAGCATAATTATCTTTACAATCTCTTCTATAATTTTTAATATTATTCGTATACATTTTATAGTTTATAACTTTATATTCGTAATATGTATTATAATTTACATTCGATATATATAATTATAGTACGAATCAAATGATCTCGATAATAAAAAAATAACATTATTTTTTGAGATATCAGATTCTAACACCATAAATGTCAAGGTGTGAACATTTAACATTTAATAGTTAAAAATTATCTTTAAATATATACATCTTTATATTTACTCCCAATTAATAATACTAATAAAAAAAAATATGTAATTGTCCTCTTGATAAGATTGCTTCAAAAAACTCGATCATGTGCCTGAAATAGTATTATAACTTTTTGGATTAGTTCCAATGCAATACGCGGCAAATGAAAAACAGGAAACATGAAACCGAAGGCAAGCAAGACCCTGAAATTGGTAAGAGTTACGTACAAATGAGGCTTGATGCGTTTTCCCTATCGGACAAATTAAAATGTTACAAAAGTAAGATGGATATTAATATGTAATCATCTTCCAAAAGCCAGTTATGGAGTTGTTCAATCATACAACCCTTCCTGCTCCCAGACGTCCACAAGAAAATCTATCATATCCTGTCAAATTTCAAATCAGTTAAGCAAGCGATTTATGATTCTATGAGCTCATCATGCTGGAGCTGGCACTTACGGAAAGGGATAGGCTGAGGGAACGGCTTCGTGCTTCCAAGTAAACTTTCATAAGTCGCATTCCAACTGCAAAGCCAGAAATGTTTAACCATGAACGAGTGCTGACAAGATAAGGAAAAAGGAAGTTCATACATGATTCAGTGATGGCAAGCACCGATGATACATGCACCAGAGTCCATAATACATGCTTATTTGGATAAATGTTTCTACTCGAACCTATTAGAAGAACAAAGTCTCGAAGATTCAAAGCATATCTATTCGGTAAGTATAATGTGAATGAATCATTAAACGATTCTAATGTTGCTCCCTTTAATGTTTCAGATTCGTGGTCGAATTTTTGAAGAAAGGGAGGATGATACATGCATCACAAGGCTCACATCAAAAGAAGAAATAATAACTCTTCCAAATGATCCACTCGTCCAAGCATTGGAAAAGAAGATCAGAACAGAAGCAGACTTACTACGACTTTTTGAATGGGATCCTGATATTATTTAGTCAAAATGTATTATTTAGTCAAAATGTCTTCTGGAGATACGACCGTCTGTCTCTTATCTTTCCAACGGTTCTTGAATCGCATCAATCCGATATCGGAAACTCAAGATATGGCTATTTTACTGAAGACGGTGCATGCAAAAAATCCTATACGGGATTAATACGTGATTTTGTAAATATTACGAATTTTCAATATTTTTATTGATTATTTGTAATATAACTTAATATAGAATGATGCATTATCTTTTAAGATTAGATTTATTATTTTATTAGGAATTAAGGTTGGGTTAAAAGTATTATTTAGTTATTATTATTTTATTAGGAATTAGAGTTAAGATATGTTTAGTTTATTGTTATTTTATTCATTAGTTATTTAGGACCTTTAGAACTCAGCCCCTATATAAGGAGGCTTCATAAACTTTGTAATTCAAGATTTCTTTGATTAATAATACAACGAGAGTTCTTTTTTGCAAGTGCTGATTGCCTTGTGTCTTCGAAGCTTCTTCTCCTGAAGTTCTTTCAAGTTCTTATAAGGGAGATTAATCTTCACACTCCAATTTGCCTTTTCATCGCGACTAGGAGGGTTGGTTAGAGCCATTTATCGAGTTTGCCTTTCATTGAGACTAGGAGGGTTCGATAGGACACTTATCCATCTTTTTCCACAAATCCATCTGCACCATCAATCATCTTTACCGTCCACCTTCGTAAGGGAGATCTTTTGATTTCTTTTATCTTATCTTTTTTATTTTCAATTCTTTTATCTTTTGTTTATTTGTTCTAATCTTATTGCCTTGAAGAAACCCTAAAGAATCCTAGTTACTGTCGCCACCTTCCCCTATTCATCCCCTTTGTTCTTAATCGAGTCTAGAACTTTCTAGGTTGATTCTTCAACAAGAGCAACGTTCATCAATCCGCCACCGTTCCCTATCAACCTAGAATCTGCTAAAATCAGGATGCTTATCACAAAGTCTAAAAACATCAAGAAAGGATGCAGGCTTATTGCAGGTGTCACTTGTGTTGGTGCATACAACATCATTTTTTTCCCTTTTGATTTTCAATCTTACGGCTATAGGAAAGCTAATTTCAAAGGGTAGTGAGAAAGATCAAGGACGCCACTTAAACTTAGGAATGTGGAAATTGATTCATATCTGGTACTTCGAACAAAAATAGACGTAGATGCCTCCTACATGTAACAATAGGCATAACAAAAAAAAATAGTTAATGTTATTTTTGTTATTTTCTTGGCTGAAAATACAAAAATATTGGCACAGACAATTTGGCAAGTAGATGAGTTCATACGAAGAATGGTACTTAAGGTCTTAAAAATATGGATTAATAAAAAAGGCCAATTATATGCTATTGTGATAAGAACTCACTTTAGTTTGGCTCTCGAACCTGTTGAGGCTGATTTTCAGACTTCTTGTTTCCTACCCAGTGCTGCCTAGTCTGATTCCAGAGAGAGGCCTACAACAAGAGATAGTAAGATGGTGAAAACACAGTCGTATCTTGCTTGCTTTAGTGCCAAAAGTGGTCTAAACATAACTATCCAGATATATTAGTCCAACACCAAACAAGGTAACTTAAGACCGATAACTTGCCATGATTTACAAATTCAGATGGGCCATTAGCACTTGCAGCACCACCATTTGAATCAAGTGTCCGGTTGTTTGCGCTGATTGAGGAGATGCTTCCCTGTGACTGCACGGCACTATTATCCATATCACAAGTGCTAGTGGTCCAGAAACCTTCCGATATACTGGGTTTAGTCACTGTCTGTCCTTGAGATTTTAATCCTTTTGATGACTCATTCGCCAAGGGATTGAAAATGGGCCTCTTGCAGCATCCTAGACAACCACTGCTCTGTTGCAAATCACAAACAGTGGTATAAATGATTAGTACCAGCCACCGAAAACTCTAAAAGTGAGCCTAAAACATTGCTAGTAAGCTTATTGATAAGATATTGAATAATATTTAACATAAATTCAAGGGATCACATTATAGGTATGTCAACTATAATAAATAGCGTGCAATACATCTCTTTAAGATATCAGCATATCATTCGAAGGGATGCTTATCTGAAAACTCAACCCAGCATTTCGGCTAGGTTGCCAAGATAAACACACCACAATGATGGGTTCGACACTTTTAACACATTAGAAACTGAAACCGTGGTAGGCAATCATGAAGTCCTTATGATACCATCTTATCAATCTCAGTGAAAAAATCATTACAATAGAACCCTGTACAACATTAGAAATTTTTGCAATTTACCAATGCTGATAAGAAGCGCATAAACTAAATGACTACATCCAATATATCTCAACTAGTAACTTCTTATTGTGATTATTTGGAAAGTGAGAAACTTAGATCCATAAAAGATACATGAGCTTTTGCTTTTAGTTTCAAACAAAACCAAAATGTTCTGCAAAGACGTGGCTATAGCAAAAAAAATATGATCAACAGTAAATCCAACAGAATCATTAAAGAACCAAATGAGCATGCAATTCTTTAAGGTGAAAAAGGTCTGGATGAAACTAATACCACATGGAGTGGGATTCAGTACTTTCCACCAAAATGTTCGCAAGTGAATTGCAAACACAAAACACATACAAATTTCCTAGGCAACTGGGGGGGAAAATGAAAGTGTTCTCCACTCAAAGCCCACATCAAACCAATGGAAGAGGATTCCAATCTACAAACATATCCAACCAAAAAATTTAAATAAAAAGCTACAAACAAACAACAAAATCATAACAGGGGAGAAACCCAGAAAACATACCCCATATATACAAACCAGAACTCCCAGAAGCTAAAACAGATATGCAGCTCAATGGGAATCCGATTCCTGAATGAAAGATCAAACCTTGAGGAAACAAAAGGTAATCGAATTTATAGAACTGGAACAAAACCCAAAGACATATCACCCAAAAAAAAGTATATATTTGATTTTTTTTTGAAAGAAAACAGATTTACCTGTAAACAGTGTCAAATTGGTTTCTTTGTTTATTGTGTCTCAAGCAGCTTAAAAACTAGCTCTTCACTGACTATGCCTCTTTTGACTCTTATTTCTCTCTTTTATTATCTTAAGTTCCCCTCTTCTTCTTCTTCTTCTTCTTCTTCTTCTTCTTCTACTTCTCGATCTTTTTTCCCAGTATTTGAGCAAATTGAAGGAAGAAAAGCACTTTAGAAAAAGAAAAAGGAAGTGAAGAAACGCAGATGTTACATAGACCAAACAGTTTAGTTTAAGCTTCCCCGAGGTTGAACTATTCCTTGTACAATTTTATTACTTATCTAGCACCAAACTCATGCCTGACAAGTCAATGAAGTACAAACACCTCTATAATTTAGTTTGGGTTAACTACTGAAATTATCCTTTCCGTTTCAGTTTTAATCACTTTTCGTAACTAATTTTAAAAAAATTATGCTTCAATCCTTATTTTATTGATTTATTAATTTTATTCACTTATTATGTTTTGGTCATTCAACCCTTAATTTTTACATTAATCTAATCACGTAACATGTTAATAATAAAAACAAATAAATAATAAAAATCACAATTAAACCAAAATACCATATCTTTTGGAATTAGTAATACTAAGGTCATGCGAAAGCGGAAAGTTGGTAGTTAAATATATAAAACCATACTACTTACTATTTAAATCTAAAAATAATATTAGAAAATTATAATATACCCTTAATATTTAAAAAATAAAAATTATAATGCGTTAACTAAACTTATAAAGTTAGAAAATTCCTTCATAAGCATATTATGTATTTTTTTTATTAATTATGTAAAAAAAAAGTATAAATTATTAAATGGATCAAAATTTTAAATAAATTTAAATTTATCAAATTAATAATATTCATGTTATATTAAGATATTAAAGCATTTTTCCATTGAACAGCGGTTAAATTTAATTTATGAGGCTGTTGGAATTAAAGCATTGGACTGCTTGTCTCCAGAGGGAAAAATGAGAGGCCCACGTTAATGTGGGTCTGCCACATCAATATAAGAGATCAAATTTCTTTATATTTTTTGCCTGTTGAATGTTTGATTTATAGATATCTAAGAAAATTGAATCATCTGGGAAATACGACAGGATTTAAATTTTACCGAATAAAGAAATACTAATGTTAATTAATTATTAAAATACAAATTAACGAAAAATTTATTGTTTTTAAATATAAGTAATTTAATGTACAAATTCAATAAAAAATACAATTCATTAATCGTAATTCTTTTGTCCAGTAAACGTAAACTCAACGTACCTGTTGCCTAATTAAAAGTTTACCCCTAGCTGAAGGATATGTTGCCAACGTAACAATGTCGTTAAAAACGAATTCAGGATAAATTTGAGAAAACCTTAAGAGCATGTGAAATATATAAATGAAGAAATTAATATTTTCAACTGAACTTAGTTTTTTTAATTAGTATTTTCAACTGAACTTAGTTTTTTTAATTAGTATTTTCAACTGAACTTAGTTATCAAACGGAAGGATAAAATACCAACTCAACAATTTCATCAAATATAAATCAAGGGATTCAATATAATATGTATATTACTTTTATTTTATATCGCTATATATTTTAATCGTTTTTTTGTACGGTGTTTGAATCAGTTATGGTTATTGTATAAATACATGTATGGTAAAGCTGGCCAGAAGAGTCGCGCAATAATTTAATGTACTATCTTGATCTGACAGTCAAATCTCAATAATTGGGAGAGCCAGACCCAGGCAGCTTCAGGGCATGGCAACGATGGCAGGACGGATGCAATTTTAAGGAAGATAAATTTAAATTTATAAAATTTTAGGAAGATTAAAAATAAATTTTTAATAAAAAAATATATGATAATTATAAATTTTAGAAGGGATCGTCCCTGTCTGTTATCCTAAGTCCATCCATGAATGATGGGGTTCTCAAGGTCAGGGATAGCAGTGGTGATATCGTGGCTGCTCCTACGCCCTCAGATGAGTGTAAGTTTGATATTTAAATATCGACTGCCATCTATTTCTAAATTTGTTTAGTTTAATTTTATTTTTGAAAGTCACGAAGTAAGTTAACTCAAAAGTTAAATGAATAATTTTTTTTATTTTCAAGTTTAAGTATTAAAAATTGTACGATATTTGAGTTTTCATTGTTAAATAATTTAGAGCTTTTAAAATAAATATTATCACTTGTAAATACACTAGATTAATAAAAAAATTATTTTTAAAAGATATAGTGATAGAGCAATTTAACTTTAATTTTAAAATATTATTATTAAAAAATTACTTATTAAACATTAATTATAAAGTATTAAAATTTAATGGTGAATGAGACCTGATTAAAGTTAATGTAAAATAATATTATTAATTTCCAAGTCCTGAGTAATAAGATAAATATATTATTATAAGATAATATGTATTTAAAATATTTTATAACTTATTGATTTTGTGCATATATTATATATATATGTGTAGATATTTGAACTCAATTTTTTTAAAGAAATAATATTATTTTAAACACTAAAATGATTTAATAAATTTGAAAATAAATACATTTAAACACGCATCCTTGGTTTAACAAAACCAATAATCTATAGTCTGAAAATTATGGTACTGGTGAACACTAGACTGCTAGATAACGACTGCGGTCCATTTAATTTTGTTTGGTCCACAATTTTCCTAAGTAAATCCTGGGAAATCGGTCAAAATAAATGGACACAATCAACCATTCAAGTCGGTATTGCTATGCCAATTTGCAATTGGTTTTGTCGATTGTGTAATTTCATTTTTTTTATTATCATGCTTTAATTATGTATATGATTCCAAAACCATTAGGCTTACTTAGGTATTAACATACAAACCACTATTACGGTAAAAAAAATCATAGTCAGATAAACATCTGTATGGTAAAATTTAATATTTTATTTGAGTACCAATTATTAAATATATATAACTTCAACTAAAATATGATATCTAGGGTTAAATATAAAATAAATATCTAAATTATAGCAATTTTCACGAATAGGTACCTAAATTATTTTTTGAATTATTTCGGTGTTTAACGTTATAAATGTTACTATTTTAGTTGCCCAGACCATCAACAACATTAGTTTCTTTCGTTAAATGACAATATCACAATCGGATAATTTTAAAAAAAATATTACTATCTTTATAAAAAAATTCATAATTTCTTTTAAATTAAAAAAAAACTCAAAGTTCATAATCCCCAAATCCTAACCCGGACCAACCGTCATCGTCCTTTCCGGCCCCGATCACCACCAGCAACGTAATTCCTGTCATCCTCTAGTTATACGTCGTTGTAGTTTTCGTCAATTGACCGTCGAAAATATATGAGATCATGATTTTTATCCTAGAGGTTGCGGGTATAAAATGTCGATTCATTGTCGATCAACCGTCAATTGTTCATGATTTTATAATTGTTTTGGCGTCGAGGGGAGATGAGATCTAAAGGAACTTCGTCGACGATAAAGATTAACTGTTGGCATGAGTTTAAATGTTGAAATGAAAGTTTTCAAATTTTTGGAATTATTTTTAATATATAATTTTAATTTCTTAATTTTAAATAATTTTTTTGAAATTATCAGATCATGATATATATCACTTAACATCAACTATATATTTAAAGCGATAATATTTATAACGTTAAACATCAAGATCATTCAAAAAATAATTTAGATACCTATAAAAAACGATCAATAATTTGAATACTTATTGTAAGCATAATATTTATGTACTACTTATGTTATTAATGGTATTATTTTTACCTCGATATCCTTAGACATCAATATTTCATTTAATATTGAAAATAACCAATCCGGATTGACATTCCTACAAAATTTGAATAGTTCTGATTTTTTTTTCCAAGTGCAGATTCGATAGTAGAATTAGGAATTAATTAATTAAGATGTCTTGACTTTTCATTGGCAATTTTTCTCGGCAGACAAAAATGAAAAAGACGAGTCAAGAAAGTAGACAAAGTATTAATGGAAAACAGTTCAGAAGTTAATTTTTCAAGGACGGAATTTACAATCTTTGCTCAACAATTTCAGTAAAAACCAATAATTTGGGCAATATCATTTACTTTAATTCTACAAAATAGGTTTTTTTAGTAAAAAAGATGTTTTTTAAAATTTAGAAGCAGCAAAAAGTAAACAATCAATACGAACTCTGCATTTTATGCACACGATCCCTGAGGATTCCATTGTATAAAGCAATCCTATTAGGAGGCATTTCATTCCTGCAAAATCTATCTGTTTCTGCAATCAACTTCTTTCGTTGTTCTTTCCTGTACTTTTCTCCATTACCATTCGTTTCCTTTACATTCTCGGCAAACTGCACTTTCTTCTTCTTTTTATCCCTTCTCTTCCCCTCTGATAATATCCACCAACAATTAATAAAAAAAACATACTTCAGTAATCAAGAAAAAAAATACATGAGGATATACGGATAATATACCTGAGGAAGACAGGCAAGAACGAAGAGATTGCTTAGGAGGGAGCAAATTTTTTTGCCTTGAAAGGGTAAGGAAAATCACAGTGCTGGAAACAACCATAGCAGTTGCTAAGACCAAACCACCCTGCGAACATAATCCCGAAGACATAGTGCCACAGCCAAAAACCAGACACGGAACTGGAACAATCCACCCAAGAAAGTACAAGAAACGTGTAGGATATTTTTTTTAAACAGAAAGGTGAGGTATTGAGGTTCCTATATACAGAGCAGTGAAATGGAGGATGTAGGGATTCGGACCTTAAAATAAAATAAGCCCATATAAATAGGCGTGAGAATTTGGAATTCTCTGGGTTTTGCGAAGCTTTTTAATGGAGTTGGGTCTGTGATTTGGCATTTTATAAAATCTGTGCACCACACGGAAAAGGCAATGTGGAAAGCGGGAGGTGGGAGGGATTTTTTTAGGTCGCTGGGTCAACACAGTGCTCGTGGACTTTTAGAACACACCCCACAAAGTTTCATATTATATCATTAATTCGTTGAATTTTCTTTCATGATTTATTTTTAACTTTTATAAATCAAATCACCTAACATTCTCCTGTTAAAAAGAAACAAAAACCTACCATATGGATCGAAGGTTAGGTACCCTTAGTTGGGTTGGCGATACTTTATATATATTAGTGTTGATTGTTGAACAATATGATAGCACAAAGCAATCAACTTCCTATTATTGTCGCCAACTACATATGATTCAGGACCATCTTTCTTGCAAGATTTTACTATTGCACTGCCTGTTGGACCTTTGGGATTGGTCTGTTTTCCTAATTTATCCCTTCTTGATATATTAATCAGCCATTTCTAATCCAATTGTCGTAGATTAATCTCCTCCTAATTGATCAATTAGTTTAACAACCGTGAATCATTTTACCTCGGCGCTTCCATGAATATCGTTAGCAGAACTAATCCAAAAAAGTTGGATTGATTGGAAAAATAACGTACATTTGTTTCCTGACATAGAAACCATAAATTATAGAGATCTGATTTGTCGATAAATGAGAATCATTGTCAAAAAAAAATCAGTTGTGGATAAAAATATCACAATGAAAAAAATCAAATATGGTACAGATGGGGGCCGGGAGATTGGAAAACCCACCATTTGGGTTTGAAGCTGAGCACCGCGTGTCCAGTTAGTCATGTGAAATGAGGCTCTGTACACGACTTTCACACTATTACACGTTATGAGTCTCCCTTTCTCTGCAATTCAGTCTTCCCATCTGTCCACCTTCACAAGAAAATTCTTCTGGGATTTTTTACCGAAATATCATTCTGCGCCTATCCGAGCTGATGTCACGTAAATACAAACGCAAATTGTCATCCGTATTTTTTCAAGTTTCTACCTTCTATTAATACCTCCAATCGTTCACACATTAATACCCCGTCCTGGTAAACCACTTATCCTCTCCCCATAAATATATCCTCTCTTCTTCATTCAAACACACATTAAACACAAACATCAAAACTCTTTTAAAGCTCAAATTATCGCAAAGTTCAAATTCTATTAAGAATGTAAAACATTTTATTGTAGTATAATAAATTAATAATTTATTATTTTATTAAATTTTATTATATTAATTTTTTTATTAATCTTTGTAGTTATGAAATGGAATACAGTTTACTACGTTTAGATGAACATCATATCTCAAGGTATTTTGCTACTTTTGATAGTTAGAACATTGTATAATTTAACGAAAATATTGTGTTTGGAAATCCGTACTGAAGTGAATATAGTTTTCTAGTAATTTCAATATGAACCTTTATTGAAATCTTTGTTATCAGCTCCTCAAGAGTTATGTTTCTATTGAAAGATATTTTGACAGAGTGATTTGATGCGAACACGAAACCGATTTCATCTTCCCAAATTTCTCTATCATAGTAAACAATAGCTGAAATATGCGTCATTATGAAAATTTGAAAAATTGAGTCTTATATCTACAAAAACAATAGTTGAAATACGCCTAATTATATAAATAATATATGGATTAAAATATAACCTAATAAAAAATTTAAAAAATTTAACAATAATTTAAATAATATAATTTTATATTGTTACCGTATCGACAAAAATGTCTCGACATATGATCCCATTTTTCAATTTTACAACCATGAAAAATAATACAAAATAATTAGAACAATATTTTTTCTTCAAATAATCATATATAAAATAAATATAATATAATATAATATAATAAAAAATAATTTTACCTCACAACAAAAAATCGAAGGAATTGGTGAAGCAAAAATTCAAGGAATTGATGTGGTGATTTTTACATAGAAAGAGTGTTATTTATAGGCGAGGAGAGAGTTTAAAGGCCGAGATTTTTGAAACAAATAATGAAAGGCGCGAATGGTGATCTGCTTCTTACGTACGCGTGTTAGATGCCCAGAAAGGCGCATATGACGTTCCATGCCTCTCATTACATCTGCACCTTTCATAACGTGGCGCCAGTTTGGATAAGGCGCGAATGACCATCCACGCCTTTCATGACGTGACACTAGTTCGGATGAAACCTCGGAAAGGCACGGATGACGATCCACGTCTTGTCATAAAGGGTGCTAGATTGATAAAATTAAGCGAAAATATGTCAGACAAGTAATTATTTTTATCATAGTGATATTTCAATAAAATCACCTCCCATCTGTATGTCTTATTATTTGAATTATTCTTTAAATCTGATTAACTATATTTTGATATAATAATTAAGTTAAAATATTTTTGGACTTGAATTGAATTTATTCAAAGTTTTCAAAAATAATTCAAAGTCCTTAAAAGTGGAGAAGTACTGATATTGTTCTTACACTATCGATACCTCATGAACAATATCAATATTGTTCATACGTTATCGATATCAAAAGTAATGTAAGTATCGATACTCACTAGGTAGTATCGATACTACCACAATGCTCAAATTCCAAAATGCAAAAATGGTACTGATACTCAAAGGGGTACCAATACTACTTTGTAAAGTAGTATTGATACCATAGGAATAGTATCGATACCATCAGGCCTCAACGGCTAGTAACAACTAGTTGATTTAAAAATTAACAAAGGTAGTATAGATACTCTCTTTAAGAGTACTGATACTCTCTGTATTGGGCAATTTTATTTTGCATAGATTTAATCCCTAAACAGTTAAAAATCATTCCTAACAGCTAGAAACGACCACAACTTCATTCTAAAATATAAATACAAGTTCAATATACTTAAAGAAGGGTTAGAACACCTATCTAAACATTCAAACACAAGAGAATAGTTTTTCAATCTTATTTTATCTCTCTTGTAAATATTAGTGTTTTAGTGAGCTTTAATTTGTAAACACCTACCTTATAAGGGTTTTCTTGTTTACATTTATTTTCTTTAGTGAAAAAGTGATTGATTCTAGTTTAGCCAAGTGAAAAACTAGGGAGTGTAAAGATTATCTCTTGATCCTTGAAAAAGAAAGAACAAATTAGTGACTTTGTTAGAAAATCTTTAGTGAGGAACTAAGATAGTTGATGTAGACTTGGTTAATAAGACAAACCACTATATGTCCTTGTGCCAAATTTCTCTATCATTTACTCTCCTTACTACCGAATCAAATTATTGCCAATTTACCTCTTTTGCAACTCTTTCGGTTGTTAATTCGAGCTTCCGTAAATTCCAACAAAATCGATTAATTGAATAATCCAAAAGTTTCAAGAATTAACTTGAGAATTTATTAATGTAAAATAAATAAAGCCTATCGAAATCATATCAGTTGAAAATGGATACAATACAAATGTTTTTTCTTAATTTATTAATTTATTTCTCACGATATATATATATATATATATTGATCGCTGAAATTGAGATTTTCTATTTGTGTACGTGTTGTTCATGTTTCTCGAAATAGTTTTATTTTATTTTTTAATATTTAGAAAAATAGTTTAAACTCATTAAATGATTATAAAAGAGAATGATAGTATTTTTAGAAGTGTTTGAATATGAGTAATTATATTTATAAGATATATTTACGTTATTAATTAAATAAAAAAATTTAAACATACACTATTTATAATAATCTCATAATATTAAAAGAAATTAATTTATATATTTGTATAATGCACTTGTCAATTATAAGTATAAATTAAAATACATCAACTGATTTTAATTAATATTTAAGATTTTACTTTTTACATAACAAAAATTATAAATATAAACTTATTAAAGATATTTTCCTTATTCATGCTACAATTATATATTAACATGTTTTTTTAAACAATCTAAAGGTGATTATAATTAAGGCATTATTTGTTTTGAATATTTATTAATTATTGATAATACATACATATTAGGGTGTTCAAATCTGGGTATCTGGGTTTTCGGATACTCAAAGTTTCATGTACCAGGGTCTTCGAGTAGTTGATTGGTAGGCCCGTGTCTCGACTTGGATGTTGCAGGTACCCAGTAATCAGGTACTCGAATTTTGCGGGACCCATAATTCAGGTTATCGAGTACCTAATTTTTATCAATTTTAAATTATTATTTTATAAAAAATACACAAATTTAAATGTTCAAATTAAATACTCCAACATTCAAACTTAGGATTTAAAAGTGTTTTTTTTCATGGGAGTTTTTTTTTAATTTTATTATTTTTATTTAATATATAAAATTATTAATAATTAAATATGTAATATTATTATATAAAATAAATAAATGTAACTGAGTACCAAAAAATTTAATTTTGTAACAAGGGCCCAGCTCAGGAAATATCAGGCCGAGTACCCGACCTGGAACTTGATTTTTTTTAAAAAGAATACCCATATTTTTTGACTGGGTCGTCATATCGGATATTTTTAAACATCCCTAATACATATTGCATACGTAATTGCTTTAATCCAAAATCTTTAAGGACAACAAGATTCTCTTCAACAACCGAAACCATTTTATGATTTCTATTAATGCATTTGCAATATTTTTACTTCTGTTCATATTTATATTTCTGAGATTTAATGTAAAATTAAATGACTAAATTATATATAAAATTGATTTTTGGTGCCTTAATTAATTTTATTAAAAGTAGGTGCCTATATTTTTTTGGTTATATTTTTGGGTGTTTACCGTTAAAAAAAAGATATTTGACATGTGCCATGTTTTTATTTTTCTTAATTTAAAATTAAGTTTTATTTAAAAATATTTTTAAAAGAATTTAAAATAATATTTTTAAAAGAATTTAAATGTGATATAGATCATTTAACATTTTTTAACAGTAGACATTTAAAAATATAAAGGAAAAAATATTAGATCCTGATTAAGATATAATTTTGAGTATAATTTAGATAATTATTTTTATATTAAGCCTATTTATGATATAATTTTTATATGTAACGCATTTTTCATATTTTTATTTTTGCTTCTTTAATAGAATTATTTTCGATCCTGATGCTGACTGTGCCATGATTCCTGTGATTCGAGCTATTATTTTGGATGTTGCAGGTACCCAGTAATCAGGTACTCAATTTTGCGGGACCCGTAATTCAGTTATCGAGTACCTAATTTTTATCAATTTTAAATTATTATTTTATAAAAAATACACAAATTTAAATGTTCAAATTACATACTCCAACATTCAAACTTAGGATTTAAAAGTGTTTTTTTTCATGGGAGTTTTTTTTTTAATTTTATTATTTTTATTTAATATATAAAATTATTAATAATTAAATATGTAATATTATTATATAAAATAAATAAATGTAACTGAGTACCAAAAAATTTAATTTTGTAACAAGGGCCCAGCTCAGGAAATATCAGGCCGAGTACCCGACCTGGAACTTGATTTTTTTTAAAAAGAATACCCATATTTTTTGACTGGGTCGTCATATCGGATATTTTTAAACATCCCTAATACATATTGCATACGTAATTGCTTTAATCCAAAATCTTTAAGGACAACAAGATTCTCTTCAACAACCGAAACCATTTTATGATTTCTATTAATGCATTTGCAATATTTTTACTTCTGTTCATATTTATATTTCTGAGATTTAATGTAAAAATAAATGACTAAATTATATATAAAATTGATTTTTGGTGCCTTAATTAATTTTATTAAAAGTAGGTGCTTATATTTTTTGGTTATATTTTTTGGTGTTTACCGTTAAAAAAAAGATATTTGACATGTGCCATGTTTTTATTTTTCTTAATTTAAAATTAAGTTTTATTTAAAAATATTTTTAAAAGAATTTAAAATAATATTTTTAAAAGAATTTAAATGTGATATAGATCATTTAACATTTTTTAACAGTAGACATTTAAAAATATAAAGGAAAAATATTAGATACTGATTAAGATATAATTTTGAGTATAATTTAGATAATTATTTTTATATTAAGCCTATTTATGATATAATTTTTATATGTAACGCATTTTTCATATTTTTATTTTTGCTTCTTTAATAGAATTATTTTCGATCCTGATGCTGACTGTGCCATGATTCCTGTGATTCGAGCTATTAATAGGTTAATCACCCGCAGTTGGTAAACAGAGTTTCTCTGGGTTCCACGCGAAGAAAACATGATCGCTAACAGTATGGCTAAGCTTGATCAAGCTTGTGACTACAAGACGCATATTTTATCCAACGCTCCGGCATCTATCCACTAGAGGTGTGCAAAACAATCGGACTTGGTTGATCCGAATCATCAATTCGGACCTAAAAAGTAAGTAATTTTTTTTTAAAAAAATTACCCAATCGAATTGGTTTCCCGACCCGATATTTCTTGGGTCGGACCCGGATTACAAAATTGAAATTTTCCGGGTACCTTGTTTGTTATATATATATATATATAATAGATTATTTATATTATGAATTATTAGATTTTGTATTTTTAACTTTTAAATTTTATGTTTGGATGTTGGAATATATAATTCGAAGTTTCGAATATTTAAATTTGTGTATATATTTTTTTAAATTAATAATTTAAAAATGAAAAAAACTATACCGGATACCTGCAACATCTGAGTCAGGACACGGGCCTAGAAATCACCGACTCAAATATTGCAGATACCCGTTAATCGGGTATCCGAAAACCAAGGTACCCAGATTTGCACATCCTTATGTAGGGGTGAGTGATCGATCGAGTTATTCAAGTTGACAGTTTTATTTTATAACTCGAACTTGATTTGAATTTTTTTCAAATCAAGTCGATTTTTTAAGTTTTGTTTAAATTTAATTATAAATATTTATAATATTATAAAATTATTTGATTCTAATTTAAATGATTTTATAATTATATATATAATACAAATATATTTCTTTATTTTTTTCATATATATATATATATATATATATATATATATTACAAAGTCTAAGGACTCAACTCAAACTTGAAAATAAATCAACAAATTATTAAAAATTTTGAGTTATTCGAGTTACATTTTACAATTCGATTTGAACTTGAAATTTTTTAAGAATTAAGTCGAGTTTATGAAATTGCATCTCGAAGTCAATTCGAGTCAAATTTTTTTGAGTTGAATCGAGCCAAAAAAATTAATTTTTTTAATCTAGTCGAGTTTTATTCACTCCTACTCAAATTAAAACTGTTTAGTTAGGCTTTTGCCTCCTTATCATTAAAAAATAGAACTGTTTTTACATTTGATTTTGAAAAGATTATAAAACTACAACCAGTCATTATTTTTAAGTCATTTCCATTTTGCTCTTGCTTTCTTAAGGTACAATAATGACATCCTTCTAGAATATACATTTTTCTTATAAAAGAAAAACGTTTAAATTATATATAATTTTATTTTCCACATTTTTAAAAGTAAAATCATTTTTATTAATTTTTAAAAGTACTAATGTTTGTTTTAGAAAATGTTAAAAAAATTAAAAGTAATCATATTTAAAAAAAATCCTTAAACTCTCACATTTTATTTAAATAAATCATTATATTTTTTGATAATTAAATAAATCCATATTCTATTCTATTATGGTTCTATGTTTCTACATGAATCAAACTACCTCAATAGTTATGTGATTTATAATTATTTTTTGTGGTCTAAAGTTCAAACATCACATATGTTAAAGATATGAACATTTATTATCGAATTATTGAAAATATTTGAACATATAATACCTTATATTCACCTTAAATTTATAAAAAAAAAATTTTTTTACCAATTTTGAGAGTGGTTCATCTAATATTGTTCCCCATTCCGTAACTTCTTATGCATTAAATTCAGTTACTATTTTTTATTTTGATTCGATTTATCTCAAGAGTATTATTTTTATTATTAATGTTGATGTACTTAGTTTTTATTAACATATTATCCCATTCTAAATTTTACCAAAAAATTATTATCACATTTAAAGAAAAATGTTTACCCATGAAGACCCTAACTTTTAGCATGATTTTACTCCAAAGAATAAAAAATTAGTAATCTAACTAAGATATCTAGAAGAAATTATTTAATTAATCCGTCTTACCATATAAAATATAAACCCAACCAATAAAATTAAAATATGTCAGCAATTTTTCTTAATCATCATTAAATTTAGGGTAAAATTTTTAATTATTTCTTTATTTTGATATCAGCATTAAATCTCCATCTCTTCTTCAACCTCTCGACCTCTCTCTCCCCTCTCTTCGTTAAGTTTAACCATAATCACCCTAGCTTTTTACGTGACCAGCACCTTCATGTGTTTTATGATGGATACTTTTATATCCGCTGCATGATCATAATCTATGGATACTTTCTTATTTTAGATATAAAATTCAAAAATTTTACACTAGTGAAACTGTAATTGAACCCGACGCTCTCTAGATTGTTCAGGCCGAAGGGGGAAAAAAAGGATGTGTTCAATGCTTTCTTAACTGCACCTACAATGATTACACACCAGTGAAAGTGTTCGAAGCCTAACTTGAAGATTACCGATCAATGCCAAGACATTATGGTAAGCTTTCCAAAGAAAGGTTCAGATTTTCTGGAGGTACTCAGATGCCAAACTGATTGCCATAGTTTTATATCATTGAATGTGACAGTGGCTATGGTGATTGTGGCTGATGAAAAGAGGGAAGAGATGGAATTGCGAGGTTGAAGAAGAGAGGAAGATTTAATACTGACGTGGAAACAAAAAAATACAAAAAATTAAGCTCAAATTTAACGATGACTAAGAAAAATTTCGATGACATGTTTTAATTTTATTGGTTGAGTTTATATCCTACGGAGTGAGGGTTCATAAAATAAAAAATAATAATTTTTCGATCTCTTGGATACATAGGAGGAAAAAATGATGCAGACCAAATGAATAATACGAAGAATGAGACGAAAACCGTTTGCAGAAGCATTATCGAATATTCATATGATGGAAAACTCTATGAGAATAGAAACTGTAATTTGTTATTCATGCTCAGATTATACATGTACACTGCCCATATTTATACAAGTAAAATGGTGCAAACGTAACAACCATAACAACTATAATAGAAAGGTTGTTAAGCTGTGAACTAACAAAACTAGCTGAGTGTTGCTAAGCTAGTATGCTCTGCATGATCGTCCATGCTTATGTTGTACTCCATCCAATATGCTCCCTGCTTCTTCCATCTTTAACTTCTTTTAATGACACAACACCTAACCTTTGTCTAAACGTATGGCAATAAACTTTTGACAACGCTTTAGTTAAGCCATCAATTACCTGTTGCGAAGAGGGTACATAGTTTACCTTCAATCTGTTAGCTGCCACCTTTTCTCTCACAAAATGCATATCCAACTCCACATATTTAGTTTTGGCATGGTAAATTGGATTGGCTCTCATCGATATAGCACTGGAATTATCACTCCAGATGATAGGAATACCTTATTGCTTAATCCCCATACTGTCGAGTAGTGCAGCCACCCACGTGGCATCCGAGGATGTATCAGCCAAACTTCTATACTCCACTTCGGTTGTGGACCTGGAAACAATTTTCTGTTTCTTGGAGTTCCATACGACTAGATTACCAGCAAGATACAAACAATTGCCTGAGATTGACCTTCTATCATCTATGCTTCTTGCCCAGTCAACATCTACAAATGCAACCAGTTGCAATGACAATTCATTTCGAGACAGAACAAGTCCATAATCCAAGGTTCCGTTCAAGTATCTGAGAACTCGCTTCACAACAGACAAATGCTGCTCACAAGGTGCATGCATGTACTGTGCCAGCTTATTGACTCTATATGCTATGACTGGCATTGTGTGACACGCATACAATAATGATCCTACAAGACTCCTATACTCCTTTGGATCAATGAGAGGACTACTATCTTCTTTGGACATCTTGAGGGAAGAGACCATTGGTGTAGGCATCGGTGTGGCATTGCTCATATGTACTTTATCCAGCAGCTCCATGATATACTTTCTTTGACTCAGAAATATGCTGTCACCCACATACTTGACTTCAATTCCTAGAAAGAAACTGAGTTGCCCCAAGTCCTTGAGAGAGAACTTCTCACCGAGCAATTTAACTACTTCTTCTACTTTGCAAACCAAACTACCAGTAAGAATTATGTCATCCACATATACAAGGACATAAACTACATATTCTTCTTTTTTCATTACAAATAAGAAATAGTCAGCAAGTGATGCTTCAAAGCCAATATGTAGTAGGTGTTCCTTTAGCTTAACATACCAGTTTCGAGGAGCATGCCTTAGTCCATATAGAGCTCGATTTAACTTGCATACTAAGGGTATTCCATCAGAGTCAACTTCTTCAAACCCTTGAGGTTGTTTCATATAAACTTCTTCATGTAAATCACCATTTAAAAAGGCATTGTTTATGTCTACCTGTCTTAAACACCACCCCTTTTGTACAGCTACAACAAGTATCACATTGATTGTAGAAGACTTTGCCACTGGACTGAAGGTGTCTTGAAAATCTTGCCCAGGAATTTGAGAGAAACCTCTAGCCACTAATCTGATTTTGTATCTTTGTAAAGTACCATCAATATTCCTTTTTATTCTAAACAGCCATTTGCACCCAACTGAGAATCTTCCCTCAGAAAGTTTAACTAGTGTCCATGTATTGTTTCTGACCAAGGCATCATATTCCTCTTGAACAGTTGTCTTCCACATAGCAGACTTAAGTGCAGCATAAATTGAATGTGGTTCTTCATCATCATCATCATTTTGTATGCTAAGATACGCTTTGGGTTTAAAATCCCTCTTTTGCTTCTAGTTATCATGTAATGACTAAAAACTGTCTTGGAGCTTGAAGCAGCATTTAAGTCAGGCTGTGTTACCTCTTGCTGCTCATTCATTACTTCATCTTCAACACTTATATACTGCTCAGATCTTGCTTCTTCAATACCAAGCTCAGGTGTATCAAGATGCGCAGAATCAACACCTTCATCTTCAGCAGACTGATTCATCAGACTAGAGTCAGACTCTGGAACTGAATTACCTGCAGATGGTTGCATAACAATCTGTGAATTTTTTCCTATGTTCATGCAATCACCAACTCGAGCACACACTCTATGAGCACTATTGATAACTGCCAGCTTTCGAGAGGTTATCTGACATGTGTCAACCATTTTATCACTGCTTCCTGCAAAAGGAAAGAAACACTCATCAAAGACTACATGCCTGGAGATATAAATCTTCTCACTTGGAGCTAAGCATTGATAGCACTTATGATGAGCACTGTAACCAAGAAATGTGCACGGTTGAGACCTAAAGTCCAACTTGTGTTGCTGAAATACACAAAGATGTGGGAAACACCTGCATCCAAACACACGCATATAACTGTAATCCGGTTGCTTATTGTAAAGGGATTCAAAAGGCGACTTGCCATGTAGAACCTTAGTGGGTAGACGATTTATAAGGTATACCGCCGTACTAACTGCATAAGACTAGAATCTTAATGGAACTGATGCTTGTGCCATTAAAACCAAGGTTGATTCGATAATGTGTCTGTGTTTTCGCTCAGCAACACCATTTTGTTCTGAGGTGTGAGGACATGTCAACCAATGATGAACTCCCATATTAGCCAATACCATAGTTAATGGTCTGTATTCTCTACCCCAGTCAGTTTGAAGTTCCTTTATTTCAGTTTCAAACTGAGTTTTGACAAATGCATGAAATAATCGAAAGGCCTGCAACGTTTGATCCTTGCTCTTAAGAAAATATACCCAGTTGTGCCTAGTACATGCATCCACGAATGATACATAATACATGTACCCATTTGAGACTATATGTGAAGGCCCCCATAGATCAGAAAACACTAACTGGAAAAGTTTATCATGCAATGTGATTGACTCATGAAATGATATTTTATGACTTTTCCCTATTCGACAAGCTACACAAACTTTTATACTCTCTTTATTGAATGAAGAGGCAACATCAACCCCAATCTGTTTACAAACTTACATAAATAGAACATGAGCAGGATGCCCAAGTCTTTGATGCCACAAGTCATACATGTTTGCACTAGTGGCTACATTTACAACTATTGAACTTGGTTTCTTATTACATGGTGTATGATCAATAGCAAAATGATATAGACCATCATTCTCACATCCTTGCAACAACACTTCTCTAGTTCTCTTATCTTTCACCAAGTAGTGACTTGCATGGAACTCAAAAAAGACCCCGTTCTCTCTAGCAAACTTAGAGACAGATAAAGGTTTTTAGTGACATCAGGAACATGCAGAAGATTGTTAATTTAAAGAGCTCGAGATCTAGTTTGAATGAGAGATGAACCAGTCTTATGTATATCAAGATTGTAACCATTTCCCACAACTAACTTACCTGGTCCTGAATAATCAGACCCATCGTTAAGTTTGGAACTGTCTGGAGTGACATGGTGAGTAGCTCCTGAGTCTATAACCCATTTATCCGAGCTGGAAGGTATTGAAGAAGTGCTTTGTACTGGTGCACATCCATTACTTGTATATGTATAACATTCATTCTCAAAACCAGTTACATGTGTATTGAAAGACTCTTGTTTGTCAGCCAACACTCCAGAAAATGATTTATCAAACCGATTCCAGCATCGATCCACAGTGTAACCCATCTTTCCACACAATTGACACTGCACCCTTGCTCTTCCACGACCTCGAGAACTGGTTCGACTACGAGCTCGAGAACTGGTTCGACTACGAGAGTACTGCTGTGAGTTTCTTTCATTTCCAGTGTACTGTGGATCAGTAGATCGATCAGTGAATTTCCTTTGGTTGTTATTCTGGACATGTTCAACATTGGCACTGAGAAGAGGTTGAGATCCACACAATTGACACTGCACCCTTGCTCTTCCACGACCTCGAGAACTAGTTCGACCACGAGAGTACTGCTGTGAGTTTCTTTCATTTCCAGTGTACTGTGGATCAGTAGATCGATCAATGAATTTCCTTTGGTTGTTATTCTGGACATGTACAACATTGGCACTGAGAAGAGGTTGAGATTGAGCTTGAAAATTTTTAAGTTGAGCTTCAACATCGATTAATATAGACTGAACTCCATCCACTGTGAAAGCATTCTTGCTTGCGGTAATAACAGCAACAAAAGGCTGATATTCAAATGGGAGTCCATTCAGAATTGTGGCAACCTAATCAATGTCAGATATCGCACTGCCACACGCTGCTAACGCATCGCAAACTTCTTTGATCGAAGCAAGATATGATCGCATGCTTTCATCTCCTTTCTTGATGGCCCGTAATTTGCAGTGCAGACTCATTATACTGGTAGTTGATCGATTTAAAAAGAATTTAAGAACAGTAGCCCATACCTTAGCAGCAATTTCAGCACCAACAAACTGTGAAAGTAGGTGATCACTGATAGTGGATAAGAGCCAAGAGGCCAGGGTGCTATCTTGTGCCACAAACACATCATATTCTTCATTGACTACAAGATTGCCATCACCATCCAGTATTCTCTCTGGTGGAGAGCTCAGATCACCAGTGAGTAACCTCTCAAGTCGATGACTTCTAACTGTTAAGAGAACTTGATGCTTCCATCGAAGGAAATTCATCTCATCAAGCATGATGTTGATGCGTTTATTGGTGAACATCTTGCTGGGCTTCAAAGACTCTGAACTTCCAAGAATATTTCCAGGGCCATCGAATTCCATGACAACA